CGGGGAAAAATGTTTGTCACCAGTTTTTAGAAGATTATTCTCTGCCATTGGAATAGATGGACGAGCGTAGCGAGTTATTTAAATAGGGAGCGCAATTCAAAGATATTCCCTTAAATTAATTATTTTCCGACACATGTATATTCGAATTTTAATATATTTGAACATATTTGAAAAAAAAAATGTTTCCATATTAATTTCAATCAATAAATAATAACTATTTCGGATTAATTACTTTTAAGACTTTTAAATGATTCATAAATTATTTTAAATCAAAATATCAAAATATGCCTCGATACGAAGATACTGCCGGTATTTGGTTTCGATTCCCAATAAAAACCCATAAATCCATTAAAAAAAAACAAATTAAGTCTCTCATTAGTGGAAAACTTTTGCCAAATTAAACGAATGGAGTAAAATATCCTACACTAAAAAAATTACAAAAAGAGAGGGGAAAATCTTCAGCTGAAAATATTCCCCGTAACAAACACAAAACAAATAAAGAAAAATATTTCGCGCAAACAAACGAAAAAAAAGACTGGAAATTATTCCCCGTAACAAACCCAAAAAATATAAGAATATCATTCCATGAAACAAAACACAACAAAACACAACAACAACAAAAACACAGGTAAATCTTCCCCCGTAAAAACCACAAATAAAATGAGTTGGAAAATCTTCCCCCGTAAAATCCACTAATAAAAAGAGTGTCAAAATCTTCCCCTGAAACAAACACACAAAAAAAAAGAGTGCCAAAATCCTGTGTTATGTCTAAACTCAGGGGAAATCCATTCCACGAATAGAGAGGTTAATAAAACTAACTTTCAAAAACTTGCAAATATCTGGCAAATCTCTCTGCATTTTCGTCTGAGTTTCAAAATAGTTCCCGGAAAAACATCTATCAAAAAAGTGGAAGTGCACTTGACAAAAAATACAGACAAAAAAAAAATAGAGTGTGGAAGCAAGAAGAAGAAGAAACTTGCTTCACACCGAAAGACTGACATGGCGGGTGGGTGGATGGAGGCAGTGAAAAAGTTTTCCTAACCCATATTAAAACATATTTGCGCAAAAATATGCAGATGCCAGTAGGAAGTCAGAAGAAGTGCATGGAAGTTGCCCCCCAAAAATATATACTATATAGAAAGTTGGGGTAGCAGCAGCAGCAGCAGGGGGAGTTTGGCAGTCAATTGCTCATTGACTTGGCTCAAAAATTGTTGGAGAGAGTTCCAAGTCTCTAAGCTTCTGTCAAAATTGCAGCTGTGACGACGACAACGACGACCATGTGGGTAGGGGAGGAGTACACTGATATGAAGACGATTTAAGGGTGGTGGGTGTAGGTGAAGCAGAAGGCTCAGCTCAGTCAGAAGCAAAGTTCACAGCACTAGATAGTATACCCAGCAGCCAGCATAGCTACTTCTTCCTTACTTCATTCTTCTTTGGGATTTGAAAATACCTGGTAATTGTGTTAGAAAAGGGGCATGTTGTTTATGGGGTTAATAAAAAAATAAAATAAAAAATAAAATAATAAAATAAGTAAATAAATAATATAATAATATATTATTAATATATTATTTATAATTATTTATATATATTTATATATTTATTTAGAATTAATAATATATTTATTTATAATTAATAACATATTATTAATTAAATTTTATTATATTTATAATTATATTATATATATAATTATATTATATATATAATTTTTTATTAATAATACTATTAAGTATTATTAATATATTAATAAATAATATATGTTTTTTTATTTTGAATAAGCATTAAAAGTCATTTTTTAAATATTAAACTTGGTTTAAAAGTAGCATTTTAGCTGTCTAATTTTTTACCTGATGGCACTCCATAGAAAGATTTATTTTATTTCCACTTCTATTTCTATATTTTCCAAGGTATCTTCTAGTCGTTGTCTCCCACACCCTTTTCTTATGGATTTCGGTGTGTTTTTTTTTCTTGTGGGTTTTAGTTTCTAGTTAAGTTTACGTGGAGCGTGGATTTCAAGCTGTGCGCGCACATAAGTTTGCGGCTTAAGCATGTGAAATTCATATGGATGGGAAGACAGACACACACACATATATCCCTCCTCCCCCCATTCGAACCCCTTTTTACCTGGCTAAGAGTAGCATAAAATACAGCTACGGCTAATGCATTGCCTTTTCTAGTAGGAACCCTAATAACCTCAGACATCGCATCGACGGGGGAACGAAAGTCAACGAAAAACTCTTACACTGACGCCAAAAAGTTTAAAATTAAACGTAGTGGGATTTTCTCTAGATGCCATGAGAGAGAGTCGTCGCTGAAATTACTCTAGTCTATGTGTTGTTTAGAGGGTATGCTGCGATCTTAAATGCTGTCAGGTGATAAAAGCAGAAGCCAACGAAAACAAAGAACAAAAGAATGCCCGAACTGCGTAGAGGCAGCTATGATCGCTTCTCATTTCCAAGAATCCAATAATAAAATAACACCAAATGCTAATACAAATATTTCCCAGCACCTAAGAGTATTCAATAGACCTACAAGCAGCAGATTTACATATAAATATGCCTGAATCTTGCTGCCATTTGCCTTTGGCTCTGACTTATCTGCCACACAAAAGTTTCAATTAGAAATTAGAAATTTCTATGCAGGATTTAGCCCTCGCTTAGGCCAAAGCATACTTTAAAGTCAAGTCGAATTATGTTGATGTAAAGTTTACTATATAAGTCAAAAGCCTAATGGAATATAATCTGAACAAAATTATTGAAAATTGACGGTAATTGAAATGAAATTTCAAACAAATTTGAATGCATGGCGCAACGGAGCGGGGGGCTACTGCCGTGCAGGGCCACCATCAAGCGCCGTCTATATGGCTTGCAACATGTGACACGCGACGTGGCACAGGCCTGGGGTTTGGACTACAATTTGTAAGCCAAAAAAGAAAAAAAAAAAAAAGAAGTGGTCTATTAGGCATTTTACTGCAAAGTAAAGGGAAATTACTGAACACTTTCATGGGCTGGGCTGGGTGACTGATGCCCTATGATTAGAGGCTACCATTTCGAGTGTTTTCTTTTTGTGATTTTAAAGCTGAAGTTAAAAGAGCTGAAGCCAAAGCCAACTAAAGTCCAGCAATACCATAAAATGCTGCACAAAATCTCTTACTTAGAGACCCTTCTGGGAGGTTACAAACAAATTCAATAAAAATAAAAATAAATTAGCTACAACTAAATGAGGCAAATAAATTCATTTACCGCTCAATGGCGCACCAAAAGGACATCCCTCCCCCTCCCCTATGCTGTGGCAAGGTTAAAAGCCAAAGTTAAAGCCAAACACGTATTCGTAAACTCAATTGCCACACACACAGGGTAGAAATGCAATTCCAAGCCAACCCTCGTTGGGTCGTCCACCAGTGTTGCTCCCCTGCATCTGTATAAATATGTGTTGCAGGTGATTCCCCCCTGCATGCGTCGTTTTCCCCATCTATTGGGGGAATTTCACTTTGCTTTGGCTCTCGTGTCAAGCGATTGACAACACTCTTGAAATGCGCTCACAGCAGACAAAAAAAAAGTCTCTCTTTGATTTCTACGACAAAACTTCTTTCTATTTCCCCAAATCCCCAATTCATTTGCATTCTGCCTTAAAGAAGTGCACTGATAAAAAAGGCATATTAAAAAGAACTACACTCCTATTTGAATTAAATATGTGATTTTTTTAAATTAAAATTAAATAGAATTCACTTGGATGAAAATATAAATGTATGAATTTATGTTTTTAGTACTTAAATACAAAATACTTTAAAATAAATATAATATATAATTTTTAGTTTAATATATTTCATATTTATATTGAATTAAAAAGAACTACACTCATGTTTGAATTAAATATTTGATTTTTTAAATTAAAATTAAATAGAATTCACTTTGATTTAAATATAAATGTATTAAAAAGGCTTTTTTAATACGTTCATATTTGATCTAAATAAAAAACACTTTCAAATAAGTATAATATATAAATTTGTATTTTAATATATTTTATATTTATATGGAATATTATTATGACTTAATTTGAAAATATTATTTTTTATATCAAAGGGAAAAACTGTTTTTTGTAAATATTGCATATTAAATGAAATAAGATATTTTTTTAATTTCTTTTAACTATGCCTATATTTTTTTATGTCCCTAGAATATGTATAATAATAAATTTAGCTATGAAAAATAGTTAATTTAAATATGAAATATATTTAAATTAAATATTAAATTTTAGTATGAAATATATTTAAATTAAATATGAAACATAATACATTTAAATATGAAGCATATTCAATTTAAATTAATATTTCATATTTAATCTGAATATGTAATATGAATTAATTTTGAATATTTAATATTTTTTTTATTTTTTTTTTAATAAGAAATATTTTTAAATTAAATATGAATTATATTTTTTAAAAAAATATTTTCACATTAGTATCAAAATGTAAGTAAAAAAAATTCCAAGTGTAATACAACCGCTCCTGAATGAAAATCAATGGCATACATCTTTTAATGTGAGTGGGGGGTGTACTTATGGGTGTACTCTATTCTATGGGTGTACTTAGCTTAATCTATAACAAAAAAAAAGTGCTAGACATATTTAGATTAAGAGTGGAAAAGTTCAGCCGCCAACATAATTAGGTGATTACACCCAAAAACACTGATTTAAATACAAATTGAAAATCTATAATATTCATAGTCATTCATAGAGCAAACCACGCACCCGCCGCCTGTTCAGCAACGTCAACAAAAAATAAAACAAAAAAAACAAAAATAATAAAAACAATAAAAAAGACACTAAAAAAGACAAGAAAAAACCAGCTTTAAATAAAAATAAAAGAGAAACGTTTGACTGGTCAGTGATCTGCTCTGAGGGGAAGCCAGAAAACCGTCTGGACAAGTGTCTGGGGGCCTTGGGGTTAGGTTTTTGTCAGACGCGTCTGGAACCCACGAAAGTTCCGCACAAATCGTATAAATAGAGAAAGATTTCGATGGCAACGATTCAGTACCAAAGATCTATTTCAAACGTCTACTACATTTGTAGCCAAAAAAACCTTTTAAAACAAAATGAAATTTCTGGTAGGTTTCTAGACTCTGTGACTGGTCTGAGGATTATGTTTGATTATTGTATTCGTTTCGCATAGGTGATCGTATTTGTGGCTCTGTTTGCTGTGGCCTCCTGCCTGCCCCAGTTCGGAGGATTCGGCGGTGGCTTTGGCGGTGAGCAGCAGCAGCAACAGCAGCAGCAGGATGCTGGTTTCGGCGGCGGCTTCGGCGGCGGATTCGGCGGCGAGCAGCAGCAGCAACAGCAGGAGGCTAGTTTCGGCGGCGGCTTCGGCGGTGGATTCGGCGGCGAGCAGCAGCAGCAACAGCAGCAGCAGGAGGGCGGTTTCGGCGGTGGCTTCGGCGGCTTTGGCGGTGGATTCGGTGGCGAGCAGCAGCAGCAACAGCAGCAGGAGGGAATATTCTAAATTCTAAAACGGGCACCGATTGTGCCCGACGTTGTTATGCCATTGAAAGTTCCTCTGCGAGGGACTAGAGAGGACTCTCTACTCAACTCTTTTAAACTAAAAACAAAATAAAAAAAATCTAAAAAACAAAACCAAAAAAAAAAAAAAAACGTTGCAAAAAGTTCGAGACAAAAAAAAAATCCGCTATGCTTGAGGCCAGTGACTCATGAATTATTTCGTGCAAGTGTCAAATAATCTAATGATCATAAATGAACATTTCATTTGATTAGCATAGAGATAGCAGAGCGAAAGACAGAGACAGAGATGCCAAGCAAAAACCTGTATTTTGTGTACAAAAAAAAACAAAAAGTCTATCTGAGGAATCCCCCCTATGAAAGCACTAAGCTAGACATATCTGAGACCAGTTTTGAGTCTCACAAAAAAACACAAATAAATGGCAGAGCAACTCGAATAAATCCAAGCAGTTTATAGAAGTTTTTCAAACGTACAAGATCGCCAGCCGGAAATCAATACACAATGAATTTTATGGTTAGTTCTGGCACTATTTACGCAGACAAACTAAACCTAATCTAATATACCCTTTAGCTGGTTGTATTTATGGCTTTGTTTGCCCTGTCAGCGGCTCAGTTTGGTGGACCCTTTGGTGGCTTTATACGGGAGCTGGAGCAATTTGAACAGCCTCGAGAACAACAGCAGCAGCAACAGCAGCAGCAGCAACAACAGAGCGGCTTTGGTGGTGGACAGCAGCAGCAGGAGCAACAGCAGGAGCAAGGTGTCATCCTTAGGGGTCCCTTTGGCGGTAGTCTTGAATTCTTTCAAGGACAACAGCAAGAGCAACAGCAACAGGGCGGAGGAGGAGGTCAACAGCAACAACAGCAACAACAGCAGCAGCAGCAGGAGAATCTATTCGATCTTTTTGGTTGAGCTAGTCATTCCTAATGATCATAAACGTAGACATAAAAACTAAAATTACTTCTAAAAAAATTACCACACAAAATTCTATTATGTACTCGTAAAAAGCAGACGCAGACTGAGACTTGAGATTGCCTGGCGAATTGTTTGATTAATTTTTGTATTACTACATAGTTGAGAGCGTCGGAATCCTAATCATTTTGACCACAAGTGGAGGCCAACAGCGGACTGTTAATGAGATTTCCAAGTACTTTTTTTTTTTAATGTTCTTGAAAGTTTTTTTGTTTTTCTGGCATTTTGGAAAGGTTAAATATTTCGATCTAGATTTGGCAAGAGTGGCAGCAATATTTTTTGAATTGTTTTTGTACGAGAGAATAGTCAGAGTGCTGACTGCTGCAATGCCCGCCCGTCTCGTTCATTTTATTCTGCCTCAAACAACTGAATGCTGAAAAGATTGAAGCGCCACACACACTCGCAATTTAGTTCATTGAGTGCGTCGCACTCACTTAACTCAATTTAATTCGAGGCATGAAAAAGCCTTAAGCTTTTCTTAGAAAATTAAGAAAAATAAAAAGCAGATCAAAGCTTAGTAGAAGATATTTATTATATATTATATTATATATATTAATATATATTATTAGAAGATATGAATTATATATTATATTATATATATTATATATATTATATTTATCTTAATCAGTCAGTCCTTTTTGTGAGCCAAATATTCAGTAGCAAATATAATTTGGATGCTCTTAAAATTGTATTCGTATCTTAGAAAAGTAAACTGACAGACAGACAGACTGTCAGGCAGTAGCGCTTAAAACTAGTTATATGATTTGTACTAGCTTACCATTCGAATTACCGAAAGGTATAGAATTCCTTCAGTTGTATCATTTAACGCTTTCAGGTGAATGCTCCCTTTTGGGCTGTCCAATCAACTGATCTTTAAACGTTTAAGGCCGCGTTTTATTTATGGAATATCCTATAAAGAAATAATTATTAGTAAAATATCTGGAGAATCTATTATCATGTTAAAATTTGTAAGGTCTTTCTGTACTGACAGAAAAATAATAACTCTAATTATAATATCTAGAGAAGTAATTAAAGTAAATTAATTAATTAAATTAAAATTAAAATTCATTCATAATTATTTATTAAATATTTTTTTATTTATTGATTTATTAAATAATTTATTATTTATTTATTAAATAGTTTATTATTTATTTATTAAATAATTTATTATTTATTTACTATTTATTTATTATTTATTAAATAATCTGCAGTAACACAGAAGTATCTGTAATATCTAGAGTAATAATAACTAACAATATTCAATGATCTTCAGAGTGAACAGCAGTACATTTGGAGCACATTTCTCTGGCAGAAATTTACGAAGGAAAAAATTGTTACCCTTTAATAGGATTAGCCTTGCTTTCAATATGCGTATAAATCGTCCGGAAAAACCCTTCTTGCCTCCAATTAAGCAACAAAGTCAGTTGCAGGTTTCCCAGTTTGCCCAGGCCAAATCAAATGAAAACATCACCATTTATGACACCACCCAAAGAGTAAAGAGTAAACTTTCTGCTTAGAGAGATGCCCCATGTTTAGGTTTGTTGGCCAAATCGCGACGATGGCCATGGCCAATTGTTATGGGAAAAGTTTTTAAGCCAAAAATCGCCAGAAAACTCCAATGAGTGCTATCGTTAAAATCAGCAGAGAGAAAGTGTAGCAGGGGAAATGGGTTTTCGGTTTATCCCGCCACCCACCAAACTCATTAAGCGGCTAAAAACCCTTTTGGCTTCTTTTCCACGCATTTTCCTGATGACTTCATCTTTGTGTGTGTGTGTGTGGAGCTGCGGGGGTGGGCGTCCTCCTTCATTTGCTTGGCTTTTGGTTTTTGGGTTTTGTTATTGGAGACAATTTCGAAGCGAAGCGAAGAGAAGACCCCGCCATAGCCATTGCGGTGGCAACAATAACAACAACAACACCTCGTAACTACAAAACAACTTTTTAATTGCAATTAAATACGTAACAAGTTTTTAGTTGTAAGTGCCACACAGACAGAGAGAGAGAAGCGAAGAACTTGCCACACTTCAGGGGCGGCTTGGGGTCCTCTCTCTGTCCATTGTTTTTGGCTCTCTGGCAGCCATCTATGAAGGGGAATACTATATATGAAATTGCCATTGCCATTGCAGTTGTCTATCTGCCATCTCCCATCTCTGGTTCACTGTTGTCTCTGTGCGTATTGCAAAATTGAGTTGTGCGCTTTGGGGTTTTAATTGTTAATTGTTGGCTCCACGCGGCTGGGTGGGAGGCGAGCGAGGGGCCACGACCCTTTTGACGACGACAACCGTTGATGACAGTCGTCGGAGGACAGATATGGCAAGCAGTCTCTCAGGCTAAGGGTTTTTCGGGGTACCATAAGAAAAGCGTGCTACGGGGATTACCAGACAAACGATTGTGGCCAGGATTGAGGCAACGAAGCTAAAATTGAACGCACAGAGCACTGAGAGCCTTGGAGTTTAGCAAGCATTTTATGTTATGGATTAGGGAATTAAATGTGGAAAACCCTTAATGAGTTTCGCTTCAAGTGGGCGAAACAACAAAACAATATGTGTCTGTGTGTGTGTCAACGAGTTTATGGCAGAGATCTGGGTTCTGGAGTCTCTTTGATCATAAATTGCATTGATTTCCAGTGGGGAAATAGGAAAATGTCTTTTGGTTTTATAAAAGTATACTTAATGGGTAGGAATAGAAAATTTGTACAAAATTAGCAACGAGTTAATGGTGTCAAGTTGATACCCAGAACACTTTTTTGTACTGCTACCAAATATAGTTTATGCTTACAAAAATTATTAAAAACCTATAGAAATTATACCACCAAAAAAACTGAAATATTTTTGAGAAAAATCATGACAAAATAAATGTTTCCATTAATTATTCCTTGCGTGAAGCGTTAAGGGTCTAATGCTTCGATTATAATATCTTCTACCATATTAAACCAATACTAATTCGCTTTACTCTTCTTAAATCACTTACACTAAAATAACTTTCCCGTAATTAGTATTATTTTTTTTGGTGATTTTAAATGCATGTTTAGCTCTTTTAGTTGTGTTTAGTTACAATTTTCTTCGATTATTAGTTCTGCATATACGCGATCTGTTCGTTTAAACGCGTCGCGCGTCATGCTGCAGCGCCCCTCGGTCGTTTGGGCTGCGTCGCTGCCTGGAATGAGCGCGTAACAGTCCTCGGCTTGAGTCCCTTAATGGTGCAACCATTGCATATCAACGGCCAAAGATTGTTCTTATATATGTATATGTATATATTTTTAAGCATTAAAAAATAATGCCAGTGGCCATACTTGATTTCTGCCATCTACTTATAACATTTCTACCGCAGGTCAAGTATTTTTGGCCATTCAATTTGAATACAAATTAAAAGATGATGTGGCCTCTGATGTTGTCGCTTAACCGCTTTTTTTTTTTGGTTGGTCGTTCTGCCATCTAATGGATCTTTATGACAGACACTTGCCCTCGGGGGTTAAGTGAAGCAAAAACCGCTCCTAACTTTGGTAACCTTCTCTGAGTGTTTGCGCTTTCTTTTTCGTTCTACCTGTACGTTGGATTTTCGTCTTGGCTTTCCTTTCCATTTTTTTTTTTTAGAGGTTTTTCCTTCACTAATTTGGCCGCAATTTACATAAAGGACTCGCGCACGCGGCCCCCCCAAAAAAGTTGTTAGCCATGGTAATTTTTTTTCCACTGTTTTGCATATAAATATTTTTTTTTTGGTTGGGCAATAGAGAATTTTTGTTTGTGATTAAATTAGAGTGAAGGAGGAGCAAGAGAGAGAAAGAGAGAAAGAGAAAGAGAGGAGTACTAATGATAGGCAGCCTGCATTTTAGTGCCCAACTTCATTGAGTCTCGCTCTCCCTCACCCTCCTCTGCTCTCTTTGCACTGCTCGCTAGATGTATGACTTGGCATTTATGTATAGTTTTGAATCGTAATTTTTGTTGATTTATTTATGCATGAAATGCAAACAAAATCTCGAATAATTACCAAAACAAAAGCCAACTGACAGACCGAGAGAGTAGCAACAGACAGCAGTAGCAGCAGCAGCAGCAAAAACACACACAAAGCTAAATACAATCCTTCAGTCAGACCTTCAGGCAGACAGACAGACAGAGACGGACAGCCTCTGGAGCTGTCATATATTCAGAAGGAGTAGCATCCAGAGAGACAGAGGAGGAGCGGGAGCAACAACTGTCTTGGGAACAGGCGAATATTATAATAAAGCGTAAAGCATTGTATGATTGTTGTTTTCCTCTCATATTTCCTCACATGAACACACATGACAAGCGGCAGTAGACAGGAAGTGATTTTCAGGAAGTGGCAAATACATATTTGTACATCATCAAACCATCAGAAACCATCAGCAATACGAATGAAATACATTTTGAACATAGTGCTTTAATGGAGGTCAATCTGTTGAATTGTGCAAGAAATTATTTTTGTTACAAAAAACTCAATAATAATATATGGGAAGTAGTCAAGAAAACAATTAACATTGGTACAGTAATCACAGACAGCGGGCAACAAAAGATTAAAGAGCAAAAAGAGCAAGCAAAATTGTCGCTGATAAGAGAAACCGTAGCCCAAAGTCGATCGCAACAAATGGAATAGCCCCATGGGAGGAGACTGGTACACTGAGAAAAAATACTTGCAGCTTTAGTAATTGCCTTAAAGAAAAAAATTAAATTAAAATAATAAATATACGGTATATATATTTAAATATATATAAAATGTATATAAAATATAAATAAATAAATTAAATAATAATATTGGATTGATTTTTGTTAGCTTAAAATATAAATAAATAAAATAAATAAATATAAGCAAATAAATTAAATATTAATATTGGAATAATATTTGTTAGCTTAAAATATAAATAAATAAAAAATAAAATGAATTAATAATATTGGAATAATTTTTGTTAGCTTAAAAAATAATTAAATAAACATAAATAAATAAATTAAATAACAATATTGGAATAATTTTGTTTAGCTCAAAATATGAATAAATATAAATAAAAAGGTTTGCTAGCTTAAAATATAAATAAATAAAATTAATAAATAAATAGAAATAAATTAATTAATTAATAATATTGGAATAATTTTTGTTAGAGTAAAAAATAACAATTTTTTTTTTTATTTCATAAAAATATTCTTTGAAAATGAATGCTGAAAATTGGCGTTCCACTTAATTTCGGCTGGTTAGTTCATTGTGTTTTTGGAACTAGTTCAGTGCTAACAAAGTTTAAGCACTTCAAACACTTTTG